GCTGGTAAAAATGCGTGAACGTCCGTTTGAAGTGCTGTCATAGGTCAAGGAATACCGGGGGAGAGCTGAGTGGATCCTGGGGACGGGGTGTATTGATGACACTGTCGTTGATGAGTAGATTTTTACATTGGAGTTTTCATTCCCCTCAATCTCATTTTGAAGAGCACGGATGATTGACGACATCCCTACTCCGTTGTTCGTTGATGTCAATGTAACCAGGGAAAATCATACCTCCAATGGGCCGATGGTAATCGCCAGTGTCGACGCTTCTGCTTCTCTTGCCTGTGTTTGGGATCTCTCCATTGTCCGTATCTCCCAGCATTCCTAACTCACTTGTTAGATGGTGCCATTGGACAAATGCAAACAAACCTTTCAGGTCGAACGGCACATCAAAAAGAGCTCTGTAGCCTTCCAAACTCGCTCGGAGGAACTCCAATGCCTCATAACCCCATGTTCTACCCGCAATCGAGCGAACATCTAGGAACCTCCTTCCGCTCTCCTTCTCTCCCTCTAAAAGGGAAGCGATGAGCCCTAAAACGCGAGCGAAAATATTGTTCACTTCTCCCGGTTCGTGCTTTCTGTCATACATGTCGTACACAGGATGACCAGGTTGAATAGTGGGGAACTTGGCCTTCAGGACTTCGAGCGCGCTGGAGCCCACCATGCCTCTTGCCTCCGTAGGTCCATCAGATTTGACCCATGAATACATCGATACATTGTGACGATCCAATATCTCCAGCACACGAGCATGACCAGAATCAACTCTCCAAGCACCTGCAAAACAATCAGTTTACAGTAAATGGAAGGGAGAGAGCCTTGAAATACCTAAACCAACAGGTTCAATATCACCATCACCCAACTGCACATCGTATACTCTGCCTCCCAACCGCCCTTCCTTCTCCAGGATGCATACCGATCCTTCGAACGAAGCGTTCCTGGCAAGGGAGGCAGCAAAAGCGAGTCCAGAAGCTCCGGCTGTCGTCCGCATTGAATATTATTCTCATTCGGATGGCAGAACAAAACGAACCCCCAATAATCACAGTCTCGCAATACCGTGGTAGGTGGTAGGGACTGGTAGAACTTCCAAACAATCCCAACACGAACTGCTTCAGCATCTTTGCAACCTCCGTGGTCTAGGGAGTGGCGGACACTGGGAAGGGAGCGACTTTATAGTGGAAGGATGGAAGCGCGGCCACGCCGAAACTTGAACTTGAGGTGTTGTTTGCGGACCGAACATACAGGGTTACTCCTTCAAAATAAGTACTGTCAGTCAGAATTTGTGCCAAAGGGTTTCGAGGAGAACACGGTCCAACCCGCATTCTCTTACTCGTATGAAATCTTAGGTGTTGAATGTGCTATTCCCGCGGAGTGTTGTTTGTTGTTGTCTTCCCTCATGACGAAGGCCACTGTCCGTCCATGTCAACGTCGCACTTTTCGGCGCGGAGCATTTGTGAGGTCAATATCTGTTAGCCGAACTAGGTAGCCTTCACACGGATTAAGGAGGTTGAAGGAAATTGAATATTGAACGGGTTCTCACGTGGACGTCAACGATGCTGCCACCGCGGGACAAGGGGGAGTTCGATTCGGCCAAAAAGAGGAGACTCGATGCAATTTTCTTTCATCAGTAGAAATACTGCTTCCCATCAGCTCAATCCTTTTATCCCCGGCGAACTCACCAAGCTCTGCATACCCGAAAATTAAACCACCCACTCCTCCTCCAACTTCCAATCATCCACTCCCTCCATCCTCGCCTTCCTTCTCTCCACTGAACTTCCAGTCCCATGTTTATCCTCCTCCTCCCCTCCCTGTGCTTCACCTTGTCCTTTTCGTTTCTTTCTCATTGGCTGTCGGCGGGTGGACGTCGACGATAAGACGGATGCTCCTCTAACGCTACGAGAGGAAGGACGAGAAGCGGTGGATAAAACGGACGCTCCTCTCGTTCGTCGAAAAGCTGTGGAGGCAAGAGAAGCACCTCTTCTCTTCCTTGGCTCGAGTCGGTCATACCTACTTTATCAATAATAGTGAACTGACCAGCAGGAGGAAGGCGGACAACCAACCGCTCCTCCTCCTCTGAAACATCTTCGGACGCAGCTTCGTCATCGAGTACCACCCTCTTCACCCTTCGACCACTCACGCGGGGCAAGCTACATATGAGCTCTTCTGTGCTGAGAGGTTTTAATGCCTTCTCCTTGGGCTCGATGCCGCCAGTTTTGCCTTTGCCTTTCTTCTTCTTCCCAGCATTCTCCATCCCACCCTCCTCTTGCAGCTCTCCAACTGAGTGCTCCGGAGCTACAATAGGAGGAGAGAGTATTTCGGCAGCTGTGGGGAGGTAGTCGGGGGAAAGAGGGGCTGTAATCGAAGCTGGCACTGCTGGAGATGGAGGGTGATGGTTGTCAATATACAATCCCTCTTCATCCCACGCCTCTCTCATTTTGCCAGCCGTATCCATCTTCCCCATTCGTTCCTCACTCTGCTCTCTCTTCCCTTGCTCTTCTTTACTCTCCGAACGAACTGTCATCGGAGGATGTTTTCTTCTGAAGTCCTTCACAGACTTGATGATTCCAAACGGGTCTTCTCCCTCATCCATTTCCATCTCTTGCTCTGTGGGAAAAGTAGTCATCCCCCTCAATGTCATCTCATAGTCTACAAACGCGCTTCCCCTGGGTATCTCTGGTGTGCTCTTCCGTTTTCTAGTTCCCCCTCCCGTCATCCTGGAACCTGTCGTACTTCCTCCCGCACCTACTCCCGTCCCCTTCAAATTTCTGGGAGAATAAAAGGAACCTGATGGTGCGGGGAAGTAGGATGGGTCGATGATGTGAGGGTGGGTTGGATCTTGCTCGGGTATGACGCGAGGAGGTGGTGGTGGAGAGGACAGCGATTGGTTGAGTTGCGATATGGAATCGGACGGATGGAGAGAATCGTCATCCTTACCCTGATTTCTTCCACCTCTGTCAATGCTGCCATGCTGCAGTAGCGCTTGGCTGGTTCTCTGACGTAAAGAACGCGGTGGAGTAACCTGACCAGCTCGACGATTTGATGGACGAAAATGAGAGAGAAGGGCTGGAGAATGACGATCATCCCTTGTCGAAAAAGATATGCGAGAGCGTGACGCAGAAATTAAGTCGGTACGCCGCTTCTTTCGAGGAGAGGAAGAAGGGGACCTCGCGCTCGCAGTGTTTCCTAACTTCTTCCTCTTCCTTCCCTGCCCATCGCTTTCATTGCGTTCAGCATCATGCTGAGATATCACATCTCCATCCACTCTTTCGCCTTTTCCATTCCATTCCTCGTCCAACTCTGGAATAGAAGGCACGTACCCAGCTCCTCCCATAGCCTTCTCTTTTGCCCGCTCGAGCACTTGTTGGATTGACTTCGACACCCGCGACATTTCGATCTCTCCAGCTTTTGCCTACCTTTTTTGCCTTTACAGCAGATTCTGAATCGTGTTGAATCTATGTTGGAGGTATTCAGGTCAAAAGAGCTGGTTGGAAGAAGGTATTGGAATTGGTGAGCTCTCTGTTCATGATCAGAATTGATCCGAAGAAGTTGAGCGCGCGTAGAAGTTGAATGGTAACACGTGTAAAAACGCGTTCTCGTTTCCCATTTGCGAAATTTATCTGCATGGGATTATCATTCAAAAAAAAACAGCAAGCAAGAACATCATTACACCCGAGTCTTCAACACGTAGTTATCGAGCGCCGATACTATGAAAAATCAACAATAACCTGTGTTGCTCTTCATTTAACGCAATGCAGAGATAAACCGAGAACGAACAATGGGTTGTAATTAAGCGAGCCTCCTAGCCCGATAATAAGGGAATCCTTCTGCCATGAGGTCTTGATAAGGTAGGCAAACGCCGCTTCCAAAACTGCTTCTCCTCATCTCAAAATGCACCTTCACATGAACCCGCATGACCCACGATGACTCCGCTTCTCCCATCTCTCTACTATAAAGGCACTGGATATTCCAGCAAGGAATCCAAACCCGGTCATCATCGAAAGCAACAAGATGCCTCCTCCACCCAAACACGTCTTTACCTCTCCAGACTACGTTCCCGATCCTACGCTCCAAGTCACACTGTCCGCCCTGTCTCCCTCACCCCTCGTCCAATTCTCCACTTGGTTAGAGATTGCGCGCAACGACCCCCGCGTCCCAGAGCCTGGAAACTTCGTCTTATCCACCTCAACTCCCAGCGGTGTTCCAAGCTCTCGCGTTGTTCTTCTTCGACATGTGGACGACCGCGGTTTCGTCTTCCTGTCCAACTACTCTTCTCGGAAGGGAATGGAAATCGAAAGCAACGAAGGCTGGGTGGCGATGAACTTCTTCTGGTATGACCAGAACCGACAGGTTCGAGTGGTCGGGAAGGTGGAAAAGGTGTCGAGGGAGGAGAGCGAGAGGTATTTCAACTCGAGGACTCTGGACAGCAAGGTTGGGGCGTGGGCAGGGAGGCAAAGTGAGGTTGTTCCTGGTGGTGGGAGGGAGTGGTTGGATGAACAAGTCGCGCAGGCAGAGGCGAAGTTTGCCATCAAGGAAGGGAACACAGATATCCCCGTTCCTGATTTCTGGGGTGGATATCGGGTTCTTCCTACCGAAGTTGAGTTCTGGGTAGGACAATCCAACAGGTTGCATGACAGGTTCAGATATTTGAAGGCAGAAGGGAAAGAAGAATGGGAGATCGAACGGCTGAGTCCATGAATGTCCAATGAACGGTACGCCTGCACACTTTGTGACCAACGGACTGTCTCTCATTACTCATTAGTTAAATGCACTAGTCTTAGACGAAGGCACTGGGGTGTGAGATATTTAACGGCTGCCTGACGCTGTTCAGAAGCACTTCGTCACATTCGAGTGAAATGAAACAACAGTCACAGGGTTTCCACCAGGCAAATACACGACACAATAGATTTACGTCGCAATGAGGATGTTAGAGAGGAAGATTTCTCTCTAAAGTCACTTGAACCAGCAAAAAAATTGGAGAAAGTAAGCATCGATCGAAAAAAAAACACCCTAACCAAGGATCGAACCTGGAATCTCCCGCTGGCTACACAAGTGTAGGAGGCGGACACGTTAACCATTGCGCTATTAGGGCGAGAACGGCTGAAACAATAAGGAATTTGTATTATATCACATGAGTAAGAAGGTCCCTGCCTGAACGATTATCCTATGGTCTGAAAATTAGATAAACTGTTTGCAATCTCTCATAACATTGATAAGAGTACTCCAGGAGAGGGTAGCGCACAATGCCGCGGTGGCGCAATGGGTAGCGCGTCAGCCTTCTATCTTTGTGAAGCTGAAAGTTGTGGGTTCGATCCCCACCCGTGGTGTTTTTGTAACCCTCTCCTTCTGGGACTTGGTTTTTCTCTTACGTGCCCGTTTTGTCCCTTTTTACAACCTTGTTTGTGATAGCGCCAGGGTGATTGATCCACACTATTTTTGTAGAAATCAAAGAACGTTTATTCCGCACAGGACCGTGTAAGTCTACTAAACATAACGTAATAGATACGAAAGACGCAACTCAAAGACGGGAGAAGCTAGCTCAGACCGCAATTACCAATTATTCCAGTTGTTATTGTACCAAAGAAAAAAGGCGTCACTCCTCACTGAGAGGGAACCAAACAGTCTCAGACCATCACGAGCCACATCCTTCATACCACTTGGCTTCCAACATAATTGTCTGTGGCTGCGACAGACTTTCAAAAACTCTCTTCCGCTTTAGAATTCCCGTTCGCCCCTCTCGCCCTCTTCATTTTCAACAACTCGCTTAAAATCTGATACCTGGGCCAAGCGGGGATGGCGGGGCTCAGCCCATTCTCGCAAAATCCCTTGAGTGCGTCCTCTTCAAGTCCGAGGATCTGCTCGATGTCATCCGCTTTTTCCTTCACAAAAACCTCCGTGTACTTTCCCACGCTGCCCACGACGTTAGGGTGTCCTTCAAAAGCCTTGAGGAGGAAAGCATGGATGCTCGAACTCCCAAAGTCGACGCTGATGGATCCAGTCACGGAAGGGGACAAGGAAGCGCGGGAGGAGGTACGGAAGATACTGCTGGTTCGCTTGGGATTGGGGGAGACGGAGGGGTTGCTCATGGCGGATGGGGGAGGGTTTAGGATTGATGGATCACCGTGGTCGACATGTAGCAACTTGGTGATCTCCCAACAGTTAGACGTCCAGTTACGAGAGGCGAGGGCTTGAAATCTGCGCCAGGACATCAGCATTGTACTCAAAGGACAAATGGTCATAGAAAACATTCTGGGAGCGAGCAACATAAGGATGGTTAAGACAGGAAGGAACCACCGTGAGCCGACAAACCTAGCGCTTCAGTATAAAGTGCAATGTTTTTATCTTCTCAGAATTGAGACAACGATGAACTTCTTACACTCGAAACTTGAAAGAAAGGCAAGAACAGGAATCGATCACACAACTCACCTACATCCTTCCGCAGTGCACTTCCACAACCCGGCATTAGCCCCAATCTTACTCCCCAAATTGTCTTGTTCCACAGTATGACTAGCACCAGCGAGGGCAGCGATCTTGATGAACGCGGCGTCGAGCTCTTCCTTCTTGGTGAAGGTCTTCCGCAACGCCGGGGGCAGTTGGTGCCGGGGGACGGGGGGGAGCGTTATGTTCCCTGCTTGGAGCGTGAGGGAGGACATGCTCGGTTACGGCGCGAGAGAAAACTGGAGGGAGCGGGAGCGGGAGGTGAGGCTGGAAAGGATTGTGGTGGATGGATGAAACGCGGACGATGATGATGATGATGCGGGAATCCGCCAAAATAAGATCAACTCAAGAGCCAAAGCCGATGTGCTTATCTGGCAAAAGAAAGGTAGAATCCATGAGAGTGACGCCGTAGACGTCTGAGAGGTCGTTTGGGACAATAACCGATGAAATTACAGGGACCACCGATGATATCACAAGCATATGAACCCCCACTCCAAGTCACCTCCATCCAATTTGGATGCTCGAGAACAATCACACTTAAACCACTAGCCATCCAGAAACTGTCAATAGTGCATCATAAAGGAAGAATGTGGGTTAAGAGCTACACACATTCTCGTCAACCCTTGCGTTACTAAACGGGCAACAGATTCGAGGCTCCCCGCAGCGCTGTCGCCACATTCAGTCTGTACTCCAAGCTTCTGTCCTGTAATGAAAATAAGACATACCAATCTGTCCTCCGAACCTCAGAGTCTGGATCCCTCCCGGGAAGTACGCGACGAAATAAGAGACAAGGGCTACGACTTGGACCAACCCCGCGACAAGAGTGCCGAAATATGATTGAGACTATAAAAGAAGTTCAGCCTTTGTGGGAGAACGAACAAAGAGAAGAAGCCGGCATGTGTGGTGACGAAAGAACGAAGAGGGATGGACATACCACGAGGGCGAAATATAGGGTGAGGAAGAGAGAGAGGAGGTAGGCAGCTGTAAATGGGAGACGTTCGCGGGAGAAGAGATGTTTGGCTTGATTCACCGGTCCGTTTAAGATGACGAATCTGTTGCGTTTAATGCCTAATTTCAGCATTGAAACGGTAGGAAACATGAGAGAGGGACGAACCCAAGCATGACCAACAAACTGCCAGCGCAAAACGCCACCGCGAACTTGGATGGCTTGATTAGTATCAAGGGAAGACCGATGAAGAATCCTATAGCGAAGCAGGCTGCACCACCGAGACAACAGATGATGAAACCGAGTAGTCGCTCCCAACGAGAGAGGGCGAAGAAGGCTTCCTCCTCGTTCGTCCTCGCGTTTGACCGTAAGGGAATATATCCTGAAAACCCGGAGAGGAATCCCGTTCGTTCAGAAGCGCCACCCGAGGAAGATGAAGTCGCTGGCTGGGACTGAGGAGAGGAGGCCCAACGAACTGTTTCACATGGCCAGCGAGATGATCAGAGTGAAGACGGCTGAGAAGGGGACAACCAACAGTTCGCCATGCTAGCTTTCCAGTTTGCCTCGGATTGATTTGACATTATTCCACGTTTGCGATAGCTGAGATGGAGAGATTACTAGGAAGTGTCTAGCTGAAAGAGCTGGCACTGAGGAGTAGGTCGTGTCGTCGGTGATGCTGCGCCGGAAGGCCTAGTCCTTCTTTAGTTCCTAGTGATGTGTGCACTGTAGTGATGGAAGTATTTTGATGTCAAAGGCAGAGATGCCAGAGAAAGGCATTGGAAAAGGCTGGGAAAGGTGGATCGTAGTGCCTTGTGTCCCGTAGAAGTTGTAACTTAACAAGTGGACTGGCCCAAAGCCTCTGATGCACGATGAGTGTCGCTTCTCTCTTCTTTCAGCCATTTTTGATGCTCTCGCAAAGTACAATGCAAAATGATACAACCTCATAATTTGCTGAAATCAGCTTGGTCGCCGTGCTACATGTTCAAAACATTGATATAAACCGTACAACCACCGAATGCACAATGTTTGGCCTTGCACTGGCAGCTGTGTAGTTGCGCGTGTGTTTCCAGCAGCCAGAGAGTCGCCAGGCTTTCTACTTTCATACCCAGTGCAAACATTGCATGGCGAGCGAGCGATCCCAATCCAGCGGCGTGCCAATGTCACTGAGTTCTCGACAAGTCAAGCACACGACTGTAGGAAGGATCCACAACTACCAAACGAGCCATTCGACATATTTTGTGCTGTATAGAACAGCTAAAGGAAGGAATGACATCTAGCAACTTCACTGACGCATAGAAAGCATGAATAATGCTAGCATTCCTGGAGTTTCACTTTAAAACAGGTTATTGATTGCACTCTGAAGATGCAAGGGTGACGTCGGAGTCCCCTTTTGTTTGTTCCAACAGGCCTTAGCATGTATGTATCGGTTTTGTAACCCTATCATTTATCTTCTCTTCGAGATGTATACATGTTTCCTCCAACAAAGAACTTGATATCCCGTGTACAAGAAAGTCTCTCGCCCGCTCCATGGGAAGGAAGCACCGTCAAGGTCTTCTCCAACTTGACCCGGTAGCTAATGGTTCATGTGAGTTCCAACTGCTTCTATCTTGGGTAGCTAACCTTGATGCGGTGTATATCAGTGAGCGCATGGAATAACCGTCCGTTACTATCGTATCCACCATCAATCATTCGATCTTCCCAGCCCTCTGGAGGTGCGCCATAATTGGCTTCTACCCAACACATATTCTCTTCCTCCCACAAAAGGATATCAAAAGAGTCTTAGGAGGTGTCATTCCATTTTCTTTCGATGCTATCCAAAATACTGACCGGATGTTAGCTCTAATTGATTCCCAGATATGGTCGTTGTTGGTGGCGTCTTGATCCCCACTCTCCCAGGGTAGATGCCCGTCTTTGTGACGATTGAACACATATAAACAGGATCTCCTTGCATGTCCACTGTTGCGTGAGAGCCAGGTATTTTGTCTGTCTGCCAGATTAGAAATCTTACATTGTTAGGATCAGTCATACCGAGTTCAAGGCTAGGGAATACTTCGTAGTTCTGACAATGAACCCTGCCTTCAGCTCTTGGTTACAGTTCGATCTCAAGCTGTTTGACAAACCTGATACCTGCAGGTGGCTTGTTTAGGTCGTCCTCATCCTCAGATGAATCTATCGGATCTTCTTCAGGTCGATAATCCGTGGCCTCAACTGTGGCTTCTGCTTTCAGCTTTCCCTCTCCACTCATAACAACTGTTTTTTTTCCAGATAGGGCCAGACGAAAGTGAAGGTGCTGGCGCGCCAAGTTTGGTATCACGCACATCGATGCGGTCCACAAAAACGGACAGCCCATGTCAGTGTACGCCTTCGTGCGCGGCCCGCCCAGCAGCATGATTGATTGTAGGAGCACCACGAAACGGCGAACGTAGAAGTAAAATGTTCCTCAGACTATGAAGAGATAGATAAGGCCATCGAATACTTTCGCCCCTTCGAAATGGCTTCGATTTCAAAAGGTACCTCGAATCCGGTGCGTTCTGTCATGCGTGATCTCAATGACTCTGATGTATCCCGTGCATTTCTCTAACAGCCAGATCTTTGCCTGTACACTATTGATACTCGCGTTTCAAGCTTCGCTACTCCACAGTGCATAACACTTGATACGTCCCAATGCTTGCGAGGCCATGGGTATCGATCAATCAAGCTCTTCGTTCCCCGAAGACACCATCTTTACCAGCGAACCGTTATTTCCCACGTTGACCTTATTCCGCTTTCCGAAACGTCCCATGCTTGTGACCTCTCCGTCTACCTTCCCCTTACAGACAATCGCTTTTATACTACGACAGCATCTGATCCTCAGGAGAAAAGACAATTCTTAACGGCCAACGGATTGCACGCCAAGATGAAAGGCTGGCTCGAAATTTCACCTGAAGCCCATTGCACGGAGGC